TCTCTCTCTCTCTCTCCGACGACAACGACGACGACGCGCACGACCCACTGACGCCGCCGCATTCTCTTCCATTGCCGGAGTCGTCATCATCATCATCATCGCCTCTTCTCCATAACTTTCGTCTCCTTGCGCCTTCGACGATCCTTTTGTTGTCATTTCCCCTACGCGGTTTGCTCTTCTATCCCTTCTCCTTCAAGTCTTCTTACTTTGAGCCTCCCGCATTGCGACTTCTTCTTCTTCTGAAAATGGATTGACGCACTCAATCGGGAGGAAACACAAATTCTTGACATTAATTATTCGTTCGGTACTTGTCGGTGTATTTAGGAAATCTACCATAGAATGAACCCGATAATTTTTATGACGATATTTCTTGTGTGAGGGAGAAGATGAGGAAATCTGGAAGTTCTTGTATATGGTATGAGATTGCAATAACTCTTTTAGGGTTATTCCAACAATTATCTCTCATCCTATTTAATTGATTTATTTGTTCGGTGGATGGTTTCTGCAGGAAATAAGAGGAAGATTTTTTTTCCCTTTCCCCGTAAAGAGACGTTTTTTGTGTGAGGCAAGAGAGCAATGGTTTAGTTATTGTATTATATCATATGCTAGCGTAAGATAAATCCATAAAAATCTTCTAAATTAAGTTTCTTATCTGTTGTCATGTTATTTAATCAATGTGATTTTTTTTTTGGCATTGCTAAACGTAAGGGGTAAATTTGGAATTTGATTTTATGGATTTACGGTGATATGATAAAGAAGCAAAGCTAGCTAACATCTTCACTAATCTTATGATTGCATAAAATTATTTGTATATGTGCCATTCGTGAAACTTAGAAGCTTAGCCTCTCCCTTGGCTACTAGAAATCTTTTTAGGCTTGTAAGTCGAAGAAGTCAAGTTTGTATCTTGAAAAGGATTATAGAAAAAAATGTGGAATTTGGATTCGATCTCTTCCATGAGTTTGTCTCAATATTTTTGTGAAAGGCAGATAAATGCAAATTTGATCCTGAATACCTAAAAAGTAGCTAAAGGAAGGGAATGCTTCTCCATTACTTTCCTTTTTAGTGAGGTGAGATGTTAAAGATGGGAGCTCTACTCTACCACAAAATTCAATGGACAGTCTCTTGCCTATAGAGAAAGGTTGTCATTATCTCTGAAGAGAGATACTCGGAGTTGAATGGAAGAGTTCAAATAAAAGAATAGAGACATCTGGTTTCTGTTAATCAAAACTCCTGTTACTTTTGCTTGCATTAGTTATACCTTTTACAAGATAGTGTTGGATATTCAAACATGGACAAAGGCATGATCATTTTCAAATATGAATATTTCATTTGTTGAAATCAATGTTTGTTTTGAAGTGGTGACAGCTACATAGATAGCCCTCCAAAATAATGAGATTTTTTATGTATTGGAATCCTACTTACATTTCAGCTTAATTTTTATCATTATACATTTTTAACTCTAGTACAATAGATGAAGCTATTGTCAACTACATATGTCCTGTCAGTGAAAACAGTGTTGTTCTTTTTAGATTCTAAATTCATATTTTACATGGTGAACTTGTTTTTATTTCATTGAATATGCCAAAGTTGCATCTGGTACATGAATCAATTAGGACATATGTAATTGCTTACTTTATTCACAAATGAAACTGTTCCTGATTGTTTATGCTAAACTGATATTGGTAGAAAAAGTGGCATGGAGACAAAAGCTGGACAAAATGGTACAGATTTACCCAAAGCAGAAATAGACACAAGAGCACCTTTTAAATCTGTCAAAGCTGCTGTCAGCCTATTTGGTGAGGTAGCATTTACATCTGATAGATCTACTGTGAGAAAGCCAAAGCCTCCGCCCCCTGAGGTATATGCTCTCCTCCTATGTATTGGAAGTTGGATTGAATATAACTTTACGCATCTAAGTTATCAAAGTATGTAATCAATGTATTTATCCCACTCCGCTAAAGAATTGGGGAGTAATTAGGATAACATCAAGCAATTATATAGAAGATCCAGCTGAGGATGATAAGAAAGATGCAAGACCTAAGTACAGCATCTTGGAGGTTGTTTCAGGTTCTCATCGTCGATTCATTTGCAATAATAGTTGCACACTTTAGAAGTCTAGCGGCAAGACTTCAAATCATAACTACATTCACCATGATATAGTTGCCATTATGAATGGAAACTCTCTTTGATGACCATTTGCTTTTTCACTTCAAATCGATAACAATTTATGGTATCAACAATAATGTGTCAGCTCTTTGATATGTATTACTTTGTATACATTTTTTTGGGAGGTGGATACGGGTAACCTGGTGAAATATATCTGCATCAATTACATCAATAGGCGGCATTATTGTAGCTGCTGATTTTGTTTCATGTATAAGACCTGTTAAACTTTATCAGTAGCGTATCTTCTGGCTCTTAGTTAAACTGCCAGATCCTGGAGGAAAAGGCCGTTGTCACTTGGATTATGTTGTGTTTCTAGATTGCTTAAGAATTTAATACACCATCAATATCATGCATTTAAGATGAACTTGATTTTATATATTTGGATAACCTAACTTGGTCATAATTAAGATGGTTGTGAAGTCCTCTTTGTGGTCTAAATTCTGTAGGCCCGAATAGAGAGGTTAAATGTTTTGTGCAAGCTCAATCAATGTTGTTTATTCTAGCAGAGTGGTTTACCTAAGGAGACACAGCTTCACTTGGCTAAGAAGGAGCTTAATAAGTACAGAGAACAGCTTGACAATGCTGCAAAAACTAGGACCCATGCGCTTGTTGAGTTAGAGAGGGTGAGAAGAACTTTTGAAGAACTGACAAACAAGCTCAATGCTGTAAATGAATCGAAGGAACTGGCTCTAAAAGCGACTGACGTTGTAAAAGCTCAGACCAAGAATCTTGAAGACGTGAGCTCTGTCGAGAATAATGGTCATGATGGTGGCTGGGAACAGGAATTCAACAATGCAAAGGAGCAGTATGCGATTGTCGTTGTGGAGCTTAATGCAGCAAAACAAGAACTCAGGCGGATCAGGAAGGATTTTGAGGCATCAGCGGAAGCAAAGCTCACCGCCATTTATCAAGAAGGCAAAGCGAAGCAGCTTCTTGATGCCTGCAATGAGAATGTTGCTCAGCTTTCTATGGAGATTAGAACTTCTCAGGAATCACTTGCGGATGTAAAGCTTGTCACAGAGCAAGCCCAGCAGGAAGAATCAAAGATTCGCTCTGAGAAAGACTCTTCCAAACAGGCCTGCAAACAAGCGCTAGAAGAAACTGAGCGGAAAATGGCATCTCTGAAGAAAGAATCTGATCCTCAAGTTCTTAAGAACCTCGAGGCCAAGCTGGCCGAAACGGCTTCTGAGATTGGAACTGTGAAGAAGGAAATGGAAGTTGCCCGTGTTTCAGATTTGGAGCTTTTTACGGCCATGGGCGCTGAGCTTGATGGTGCTAAAGGGATGCTGCAGAAACTGGCTGAAGAAGAGAGTTGGTTCAGGAGTTTGGTGGACTCCCTTAAGCTGGAGTTGGGAGCTGTAAAGAATGAGCGCGCAGAGCTCAAAGAGAAGGATGCAGAAACTGGATTTGTTGTCAGTAACCTTAACCTCAAAATTCAGAAATGCAAAGCTGAGCTCGAGGCCGCCATGGCTGCAGACTCGAAGGCAACTTCAGCATCGGATGACCTAGTGTCAGCTCCCCAGCAGCTGTCATCTGCAGAAAAGAAGAAAAGTGGCGAAGAGCTAAGAGATGAAGCAGAAAAGAAGCTGCAGGGAGCCCCGACGGATGCTGATGTTGCTGTAGCATCAGAGGCTAACGTAACAATCTCAAAAGAAGAGTACGAGTCATTGACATGCAAGGTGGAGGAGTCTGAAAGGTTGATGGAGAGGAAGGTTGCTGCTGCAATGGCACAGGTGGAAGTCGTGAGAGCCAGTGAAAATGAGGTAAGCAAGAAACTTGAGGCAGCTCAGAAGGAGATGGAGGAGATAGAGGCAGCAACGAAGGTGGCACTGAAGCGGGCAGAAATGGCTGAGGCTGCAAAGAATGCAGTGGAAGGAGAGCTTAGGAGGTGGCGAGATAAGGCACAGCAAAGGGCTGGTGAGACACACCAGTCAGCAGGAGCATTGCCACCGAGGCCCACAGTTCATAATGTGAAGCCAGGAGAGAAGAGTGAAGAGCACCGAAAGGTTCTTAAAGCAATGGCTTCGAGGAAGACATTCCTGTCCAACCTCAGCGGTATACTTCACAGGAAGAAGAGCTCCGTCGATGGTGGTGGTTCCCCATCTCATCCCCCAGGCGAGAAGCCTCTGTGATCGTGTGCTCTGCTTCTCATTTTGAAACTGCGGAAATCATGCGCAGGCTTTTCTTTTTGTTTGGTGACTTGGAGGTGTTCCTCCGTGGGGTATGAGTCCCTAACACGGTCGTGTCCCAATCTGTGTTGCTGCAAGCAGTGTCATTTCATTTCGTGGGAATTGCATTTTGATTACGATTGTCTTGTGATTTAGGTGGCTCTCAATCAAAATTATATTGAAGGTCAAAGAAGTCACGTACGATAACATAAAACACCAAACACTAGTCTTAACCACATGCTTTCCGCGTGACCATGACAGGATAAGCTTTGACCAAAGACGTCTTGGGTTCTCACATATCACGAAAAGCTTTTAATTGCTAAAATTAATAAAAAGCTTCTAATTCTCATAGTTCATCAAACGATCTCTTGTTTTGAATAGTATCGTGATTATTTCTTCCACTTTTTTTTTTCATTTTGATTAGAAAATATATAATAACTATAAAAAACTACAAACTATTTTTTAATATTTGGAAAACTAGGGGCTCATGTCCTTTCTCCGCACCCATGCAAGTCGTCTACCCATTCGGGTACCGTCTAATGACTGGCAGCATTAAAAATGTGGGTCCCGCCGCAAAGTTGGGCTACAACGAGAACCACGAGGGACGTGATGACCAAGGGTGCGACGCCTTCGCCTATCCCGGCCCCCTCGCTCACCGTTGATACAACTGGACAAAACGCGGGACCCGATGGGACCCACCGAAGCTCGTGGGCCTGAGCGGCTGGACGAGGAGCCGAGAGACGGCGACGGGACAGCTGGCGGCCGGAAGCGAAGGAGAAGAGAAGCCCTGCGTCGAAGGGAACCCGCACGTGATCCCCCCACCCACCTCCCTGCCTCCCCATCTCGGCCATCGCTTTGGTGGGCTACTCGTCACGGCGTACGACATCAGAGTCGTCGGCCGAAGTCCTCACCCGCCCCCGTGACTCCGACGGCACACGGGACCTGCCACGTCTCGACCGCGACTCGGTGGCGCCACTCTCTCCGCCGCACCCCCAATTCTCGTGCGCCGGTCCGCATAACCATTTTATTCTCATCTCTTTTTTTATGTATTCATTGGATCACATTTGTCCTATTCACAAGATCTGACAGATCGCCATCATCCTATTTTCTTAGACGAATTTTCGAAAAATAAAATCAATCTTTTTTTGAATTTTCTTAGAAGTGTTCTTTTTTTTTATAATTTTTTATGTAATATCTGAAATATTCTGAACTTGACAAACAGTCATCTATCTTTTCTTTTTTTTTTCCTTATAGATTGGATCATAGGATAAATCGGTCCAATTATAATATTTTTAATAATATTAAAAATATTATTATATATTATAAAATTATTTATATTTTATAGTATTTTTAATACTATCAAGAAAATAATACAATATAAGTTTAAAAAATATAACGTAATATCTTTTTACTATGCTATAGTATTTTTATGGTATTATAGAAAATATCATAACTAGTATTAAAATATTAAAATATTATAACTAGTATTAAGATTGATCCAACGGTTAAGGTATTCTATGTATCAAGTAAAAAAAAAAAAAGAGTTGTTAAGAAAGGATATTACTATTTATAATTCTCATCTTATTATTTTATATTTTTTATTTAAAAATTTTAAATTATCTCAATCTTATTTAAAAAAATTAAAATTTCTAAACAATCCATTTATAAATGAACATAAACATCCATCTTTTTTCTCCATCTCTTTTTTTTTTCTCCTTCTACTCCTCTTCTTCTTTTTACTCTTTATCTTCTTTTCTCTTCAAAAGTCAGCGAAGATGGTGATGATAAAATGAGGGACTGTGAGGATAAAAAAAATAAAATCAATAATACTACTAAGGTTATAAATAAGAAAATAAAAAAATATTTTATTATTTGTAAGAAAATTATCAATAACAAAAGGTTGTTGATAGTAAAAAGAGATTATGAACAGTAATTTTTCTTAAGAAATTTTGAAAATAAGAATACTTCCCCAAAAACTCCCTAAAAATTTTGAAAATTTTCTTAAGAAATTTGATAGTAAATTTATTTTCCAGAATTCCCCTATTTTCTTTCATATACTAACGTGCTTGTTATATTTTTCTCCCATTAATATCTATTTAAAAGATATATACATTAATTATTATCAGCCGTCCTTGTTAGTGATTGCTAATTCAAAATTAGTAAATATTTAGCAATGTTATGAATGAAGATAAACATAGGACACGAAAAGAAATAATATATTATGACTATATGTATATGATGTAATATTGACTAGGTGTTTGACTATGTACTATAAGCATTACTTAACCTGCTCCAGTGTTTTAAGGAAGCATGCTTTTCACGTCTTTCTTTTTCTATTGAGTTATTTATAATAAGTTATCCAATATATATATATATATATATATATATATATATATATATATATCATCAAATATTATATATATTAGTTTAATTGATAAAATCTTAATAATAAGATTCTTCATGATATAAAAAAAAAATTCATAAAACTATTTGATATATAAACATCGATTCAAAAAATTTATCATTTTTGAATAAAATAATAATATTTCTATAATTATATTATTTTAACTCAAAATTAATTATATAAATGCCTGAACTGGATACCTATTTTGAAACCCAATTAAAGGACATCAAAATCTGATTTAAAGCAGGTTGGACAGAGGCGAACATCCAAAACAAACCCGACCCGCTATCGCAAACCCGCATGCGTATGATCGTATTTGTATGCGGACATCCGCTGGGGACCCACCCAGCGGGGAGCGCAGGCTGCTCGTTTATCTGCGTTTATATGTACCTCCGACGGCCCTCTCCTTCCGCGTCTTCCTTACTCCTCTCCTTCGCCCCTTGTCCCGCGAATCTGCAACCACGCCCTAGATTCCGTCCTCCGCTCCATCCGGCATCGGGATCGCGATAGTACGGTGGGATGCGGGATTCGAATCACCGGATCTGAGCGGCGGATCCACCCTCCCGAGATCCGGATTCTTGGATGAGGCGGTCGGACTTGTTTGTTCGTCGGTGGTGGATTGACTCGAGGTGCATTGATATGTTTCGCCTCCCTCTCGGTTCTGATATGGTTTAATCCGGGTTTCTTGCGTGTTTCTTTTGGGGATTTTGAGCAGGTTTCTGGCTCGGTTTATTGAATCTTCGTGGAATCTTCTTTGTTCTGCAGCGGGTGTGGTAGAATAGTATTGGATCTCGAACTTACTCATAGATCGTGGAAGTTCTATCACTTGTAATTCTAGTGCGGATTAGAATTGCAGGTGGTTCGCTTTTGTTAGTTTAACGGCATCGTGTGTCAAGGTTAGTATATTAGGAGTTTCTTAATTCGAAGAGTCTAGGAAATTGAATAGGCATATACTGGTCAATTCCATTATATTTCAGTTTATTGAACTCGATTAATTCGGTGACTGTTATGGAATAATAGAATTGGATGTTGTTAAAGTAGTAATTGGGCAAATATCTAAAGTTATTTTTGTCGGTTGTTAATTGAAGTACCTAGTGGCCATCTATTCCACACTGTCAATACTCCTTTTTATTCAAGAAAAAAATTCTGTAAGTGGATAACATTAATCAATGGCTTGTTTTGTTTAACTCGACCTATTTGGTGAACAAGTGGATCTGGAAAAGAAAAAGCTGCTGTTTGACCAGCTTGAATTTGACTTAAACAAACACTATTATAGTCACCAGTAATTTATCAAAGGAGAGTTGGCCCACTTTAATCCTATCCTTAACCATAGTTTTCAAAGTTGAGATTAACACTGTCACTCGCTAGGAGTTGTGCCCTTCTGAATTATATGTTTGGGAGGCGGGGGAGAAGAGGAGCATCTAACATGCTAGCATCCTTTTTCTTCTCTTGTTCTTTTCCGTTTTAAGGAATAATGGAGAGAAAAGCATTTTAGAACCAGTTCAGGTATTTGATTCCTTGGTTTAGGAACTAGGGAAAACATAAATGACAAGTTGTTGTGGTCTAATAAGTGGTCAATGTTTGTCCTTTCATCTAAAGGATGTCACCAGTATCATGTTGACTCTCATAACTGATTCTGCAATATCAAATCCCATTCTTAGGATTGAATTGTGGAAAAAAATCCATGAGATGCCAATTTCACTATCATTAATCACATTGCTGGTTCTGCCATTGCCTTTCCCCTCAAACTTGATAATCACCATCTTCATCTTTGTTCTAAGGAAGCTTATCCTTGACATCAAAGATATCACTCGTTTTGGTTCATTTTTCTCCAATCTCTGGTTTCTATCCTGTAAATTTTTATTGCACCATTGTGACTCATCACCATTATTAAAGCTTAAATGCTTAATGTGCAGTAGTCTGATTTTTTTCTCTTCGGTAGGCGGTAAGGACATCCTTTTGTCTTTTCTTTGGGATCATCCTTGAACCTCCGTATATGTCTGATCTTAGCTAATATGCAATTATGAATTGGTTGTCATTGTCAGTTTCTGCTGATTTTTCCAGCTCAGTGATATAATTAGGCACAATGATATCAGGATTGGTCGATCCATGATATGAAATATGTTAAATCACAATAATCTTCTCAATTCAGATCTTATGGTCAATTCGATTTCATGAAGGATGAGACTAACTTTTGGTCGATTGTGCCACTCGGATTGATTATCATCTAATTCAAGCTGTAAAGTGCAGGAGAAGAGGAGCATAGAACCACCAAACATCACCACCTACTGCCACTGTCTGCTGTTGCTCACTGCAGTTTCTTGTCTCTAACAGTTATTGCCTGTTGTTTAAACAAGCCACAAAATTTCTAAGATCAATATCCTACACATAGATGATCGTTAAAAATATCCAACACATAGATGTTTCCTAGACCCCACCAATATGGGGTCTAGGTAGGTACTTTAAATCGATCTAATAATACCAACATGAGAACACCTACATTAGATCCTATCTAACAGGTGTCCTAAATGTAATCTTACAGTACATGCATGAGAAATGT